TAAAGTGTAACTTTTATTTGGTAATATATATATATATATGTGTATTTGGGTGTAGTAATGAAGAGGCATATACAGGCTGGTGCAGCTGATCAAGTATTGAAATAGGGTCGTAGTTTGTGTAATAAAACTAAGTGAGAAGAAGAGTCAATGATTTTTTTTAATTTGCTGAACTCCTAACCCTTGTCCTGTTTATTCACTGTCAGACTGGCCACAGAACACGCTGCAGAGGAAGCCGCCTACAACCTCTCACACTGTACTACAGAACACGCTGCAGAGGAAGCTGTCTACGACCTCTCACACTGTACTACAGAACACGCTCCAGAGACAGTCGTCTGCGACCTCTCACACTGTACTACAGAACACGCTGCAGAGACAGTCGTCTGCGACCTCTCACACTGTACTACAGAACACGCTGCAGAGACAGCCGTCTGCGACCTCTCACACTGTACTACAGAACACGCTCCAGAGACAGCCGTCTGCGACCTCTCACACTGTACTACAGAACACGCTCCAGAGACAGCCGTCTGCGACCTCTCACACTGTACTACAGAACACGCTCCAGAGACAGCCGTCTGCGACCTCTCACACTGTACTACAGAACACGCTCCAGAGACAGCCGTCTGCGACCTCTCACACTGTACTACAGAACACGCTCCAGAGACAGCCGTCTGCGACCTCTCACACTGTACTACAGAACAGCTCCAGAGACAGCCGTCTGCGACCTCTCACACTGTACTACAGAACACGCTCCAGAGACAGCCGTCTGCGACCTCTCACACTGTACTACAGAACACGCTCCAGAGACAGCCGTCTGCGACCTCTCACACTGTACTACAGAACACGCTCCAGAGACAGCCGTCTGCGACCTCTCACACTGTACTACAGAACACGCTCCAGAGACAGCCGTCTGCGACCTCTCACACTGTACGACAGAACACGCTCCAGAGACAGCCGTCTGCGACCTCTCACACTGTACTACAGAACACGCTCCAGAGACAGCCGTCTGCGACCTCTCACACTGTACTACAGAACACGCTCCAGAGACAGCCGTCTACGACCTCTCACACTGTACTACAGAACACTCATCAGCGGGGGCCATCTACGATCTCTCACACTGTACTACAGAACACTCATCAGCAGGGGGGCCATCTACGATCTCTCACACTGTACTACAGAACACTCATCAGGGGGGGGGCCATCTACGATCTCTCACACTGTACTACAGAACACTCATCAGTGGGGGGGTCATCTACTACCTCTCACACTGTACTATAGAACACGGATGAGTGAGGGGCCATCTACGACCTCTGACACTGTACTACAGAACACTCATCAGTGGGGGGTCGTCTACGAACTCTCTCACTGTACTACAGAACACTCAGTGGGGGGCCATCTACGACCTCTCACACTGTACTACAGAACACTCATCAGTGGGGGGGTCATCTATGACCTCTCACACTGTACTACAGAACACGGATGAGTGAGGGGTCATCTATGATCTCTCACACTGTACTACAGAACACTCATCAGTGAGGGGTCATCTTCGACCTCTCACACTGTACTACAGAACACTCATCAGTGGGGGGGTCATCTACGACCTCTCACACTGTACTACAGAACACGGATGAGTGAGGGGTCATCTACGACCTCTGACACTGTACTACAGAAAACTCATCAGTGGGGGGTCATCTACTACCTCTCACACTGTACTACAGAACGCTCATCAGTGCTGGGTCATCTATGACCTCTCACACTGTACTACAGATCACGAATGAGTGAGGGGCAATCTACGACCTCTCACACTGTACTACAGAACACTCATCAGTGCAGGGTCATCTACGACCTCTCACACTGTACTAGAGAACACTCATCAGTGGGGGGTCATCTACTACCTCTCACACTGTACTACAGAATACTCATCAGTGCTGGGTCATCTACGACCTCTCACACTGTACTACAGATCACGAATGAGTGGGGGGCAATCTACGACCTCTCACACTGTACTACAGAACACTCATCAGTGCAGGGTCATCTACGACCTCTCACACTGTAGTACACTACAGAACACTCATCAGAGGGGGGGTCATCTACGACCTCTCACACTGTACTACAGAACACTCATCAGTGGGGGGGTCATTTATGACCTCTCACACTGTAATACAGATCACGTACCAGTGGAGCTGTCTGAACTCTCCCATTGTACTCTGACACATGAATGCAATGGGCTTGATTTATTAAAGGTAAATAGGCTGTTCGCTTTGCAAGGGAATTTTCTCCAGAGCTTAGTGAATAAAGTGACTTCCATCATTCCTTGCACTTGGAAGTGGAAAGAATGTGATTTGTCCTGTAGCTGCATGTAGAGAATACACAATAAGGATTAGAGGATGTGACATACAAGCGTACTATGTCCTGGAATGTCATCGGATCACTGTCCGGGTCATGGCAGACTCTGTCCCGACAATCAGCTTTCCTTCTGACGTTGTGGTGTACGAATGAAGAATCGGCACTCTCTTACCTGATCTCCAGATCGTCTAACATCTCCAGCAGGTGACAAGAGCGCGCGGCCATAGACATAGAGCGACAGAACTTGCCCCCGTTGGGCCCCTCGCTGGCCTTGGCTTGGATCTTAGCTTGAGCCATGTCTGCCGTGGTAATGAATGGGTAAAGTGACAGGATAAAGCAGCACTCAGGATCTTTCTAGACACACATCCTCAGACACTTAGGAAGGACTGATGGAACATTTCCTAACAAGGTCTTGGGCGGATCCCGCTCCTCTAATATTCTCCCAGCCCCCAGCCTGCACTCTGTATACATGGCTCTTCTACTGCTACACGTGTGTCACTGCTGGAGCAAATGACCATGTCCCCGTTACCCTGCAAAGGATAGAATGTCACGAATCGAGTACTACTTGGCTCTAACAAACAAAACACAAAGAAAAAGAAAGAATTCTTTTAATCTATAACTAACCATACACAATACAATCCTTTAGATGTATCATCAGCTGTAAAGTGTAAGGGCCTGCATGATTTGATACTAAATGAATGAATGTTTTAGGTTTGCCCTTATATAACAATGTAAAGCTGGTCATATACTATACAATCTGAAATGTGCAATTCCTGTACAATTTCTTTTAGATGTACCAAAACTAATAATTAGAGGACAAATCTAAACATCTCAATCAATTTGTATCAAATCAGGCAGGCCTTGCACTACTGAAAGTAGATCTGAAGAAGATTGCACAATCTGAATATATAGTATATGGTCACCTTAAAGGAAATTGTACAGAGATAATACAATCAGATTGAATAGTGTACGACCAACCTAATGCAGCTAGCAGTATCTAGTTGGCATAGAAAGCTTTGATCTGTGTTGGCTGTTGTGAAATCAAAGCCTCCAACTGTACAGTATACTGGATCGGTTAGAAACTCACTAAGGCTGAATTTACACATCCGCAGTGAGATCGCTTTTCAGAATTGTATGGCAATCAGTGCAGTGGCAATCCGCAGTAAGATCGCTTTTCAGAAGTGTATGGCAGGCAGTGCAGTGGCAATCCGCAGTGAGATCGCTTTTCAGAGGTGTTTGGCAGGCAGTGCAGTGGCAATCCGCAGTGAGATCGCTTTTCAGAAGTGTATGGCAGGCAGTGCAGTGGAAATCCGCAGTGAGAACGCTTTTCAGAGGTGTTTGGCAGGCAGTGCAGTGGCAATCCTCAGTGAGATCGCTTTTCAGAAGTGTTTGGCAGGCAGAGCAGTGGCAATCCGCAGTGAGATCACTTTTCAGAAGTGTTTGGCAGGCAGCGCAGTGTCAACATGTTGCCTCCTAACCATCTGTATTACCATGCCACAACCATGTTCATTGCACACACATGCGGGGCAGTTGTGGTGCGGCCCCATTAGTTTGAAAAGGTCGCATTCATCAGCTGTATTGTATGATGCAGGGATAGTTTTTGCAACGTCTGCAAAGCAACGAATCAAGGAAGCAGCTTCTGCATTTTTTTCAGAAAATAGGTGCAGGAACTCTACCTTCTGAATCACCTCTCAGACTCCATTCCCCTACCCACCTCAAAGCACAGTCCCTTGGTTCCAACCCTACCCACCCCCAGTGCCACTACTTATAGAGAATACGCAGCCAAGTATCATTTTGTGGTGCTAAGTCATTTGTATGGAATTTGTTAATCACCCCCCCAAGCAACAAAATACCACCTGTAATGGAACCGGACCCCGACTGCAATAGGGTATTTCCGTTAGACACCCGCTTCCCTGTCCGAACACAGATCCTCGGACACCATTCTTGAACGAAAACCAGGAAATAGACAGCTTTATTTTAACACAGACACAAGATATATACATTCAAGGGAACAATTCTCCCCTCCCTGCATAAGGACACAGGGCGGGGCAAACCAAATCTAGCAACAAGAAACACATCAGCAGACACCCCCCACCAAGCCAATACACAAACACATACATCCCATAATAGTTTGCTTTCAAGCAAGACACACAATAGAACAATGGGATGCAATCACATAACACCAAACAATCCACAACCCCCACCTATCTCCTATACATGTCTACACAATATCAGGACATTTCACCCCCCACCCCTAACAGGCACAGGGTGACTTACACATAAGAGGGATATGGGGAGCTGAGACAGGTATCTCTCCACCCCTCCAAAGTGAGCTGTGTTCCATGGGCCCCCCACCCAAAGTCACTCCCGTCACACCACCCCAGCAACAATAGACCCCCAGCAGCAACAACAGATCCCCAAGTGGCCAGCATTAATAGACTTTCCAACAGCCAGCAACACTAAACCCCTCTCTCAACAGTAGATCCTTTCCAGCAACAATAGGTCCCCCACCAGCAACAATGGACTTTCCCAGCAACAACAGACCACCATGCAAAAATAGATCTTCTCCAGTGACAACAGGTCCCACAGCAGCAAGCATCAATAGACCTTCCAGCACATCCCAGCACCCCTTGCCATTACATACATTTAGTGCTGGAGGTGACAAAACTGCGTTCCCCAGTCTTCCTGCTGCAAAAACACCCTGTGTATACTCCTGTCTGCTGCTTTTGCAGCTTAGGTGGGAAAGGGTTGCAGTCAGAGGTGGACTGACCATTTGGAAACTCGGGCACTGCCCGAGGGCCCGGGGTCAGTAGGGGGCCCCATGAGATGCCCCTAATACCTTTTTCATAGGCTTTTTTGCAAAGGAATAGAGGGGAGGAGCTGGAGAGAATTATCAAGATAAGGGCCACTGATATAGATTTTTATTTAAAAAAAATATAGGACAACACTGTCTTTTCTATGAGGGACAGCAATTTCAGAAAGTGTTGGCTGTTTGCAAGGTAAATGTAATAATAAAATGTAAAGTCCCTTGGTATAATATTATATAATATAAAGCCAGCCATGCAGATGGTGATCCAATGTAATTTTTATATTCTCAGGATTTGATTTATAAAATTGATAATTGCAGTGCAAAGAGTATTCATCTGATTTGCTAGACCTAAGGTTGCTTCAAACGGTAAGGTCCTCATCAGGGGCGGACTGACCATTTGGAAACTCGGGCACTGCCCGAGGGCCCAGGGTCAGTGGGGGACCCTATGAGATGCCCCTGGTACCTTTTTCATAGCCTTTTTTGAGTTTGGGCAAGGACACAGGGGCCCCATGATCCCCTATTGCCCGGGGGCCCCATGAGTTATCAGTCCACCCCTGGTTGCAGTTGGGGAGGGGGGCTGTGGAAACACAGCTCAACCTTGTGTTTTTACCACCCCCAAGTTTAAACAAGCCCTTACTCTTGCAGTCTGTGCTCACACTGGGGATATTTCCTCTCACTGTTGTGTCACTTTGTTGTCAGCCTTCAGAGATCTATGCAAAATTAGAAAAGGGGCGCACAGAGAAAAACATGACCATCTCTATGTTCACTTTTATTTAGCATTTTATGCACCAAATAAATAAACGTGTCACAATACAATTGAGTCATTTGTTACATGATAGTGGTGCGCAGGGGCGGACTGACCATTTAGAAACTCAGGCACTGCCCGAGGCCCCGGGGTCAGTAGGGGGCCCCATGAGATGCCCCTGGTACCTTTTTCATAGGCTTTTTTGAGTTTGGGCAAGGACACAGGGGCCCCATGATCCCCTATTGCCCGGGGTCCCATGAGTTGTCAGTCTGCCTCTGGTGGTGCGCTGTCTGAGTGTAGTCGGGAGAGAACACACACAAAGTCCTTGCTGTTGCAATTTATCTCATTTTTGTATATAGGTTAGCGGCAGGGGCGGACCGACCATTTGGAAACACGGGCACTGCCCGAGGGCCCGGGGTCAGTAGGGGACCCCATGAGATGCCCCTGGTACCTTTTTCATAGGCTTTTTTGAGTTTGGGCAAGGACACAGGGGCTCCATGATCCCCTATTGCCCGGGGGCCCCATGAGTTGTCAGTCCGCCCCTGGTTAGCGGTAATGAATAAACACAGTTTCTATGGGCACTGGTATTAGGAAATATAGCAGTTGGTATTTATACGGTACCAGCTTTGAGCCTGTATTTGGAGGACAGCGCCTACTGGAGGGGGGAGATGTTGTGGCGTACTGGGGGCGGCACTCTGGTGCTGTTGAGAAGAGCCCATTTCACTGGCTTAGACACCAGAATGTTTCCCCTGTATTGGTGTTGTCTTCGTGCTTTTCATTCTACCTAACAAGGCGGGGGTCTCTGTCCTGACCTACCACTTGCTCTAGGTGCTCACCAATTACTCTATTTTATAAGATCCCACACCAAGATGGCCACTGAAGGTCACCAGAGGTTGCAGCATCCAATCAGACAGCTGCCACGTCTGGGACACCGACAAGTCCATAAGGGGACATTTTCCCTTACAGACTCCACTGCATCTGTACAACAGCACAGTGCCACCTACTGGACAGATGGAAACCTGCACCTCTCTCACCTGCCTACATGTGCATACACATACATCTTCCTCCCGCAGTGCTGCTTCTTACTGGCCATCCCTCCTCATTACAGCATTGTGGTAATGGTGTACATTTAAGAACAATTTTTAACTTACTTGATTATTTTGCGATACCCTATCAGACATTAGAAGACATTGTCACATATCACTTTTAGGGCTGGTTAACACTACCATTTTACTGTTACAGCATTTGCCAATGCAAGGCCCGATAGGGAGATCTGCGATGCACTTTTTGTTTTGTTTTGTTTATTTTACTTGAAGTGTTCTTTAAAATGATATGGTGCAGCTGGTGCAGAAACACATAGGGTTTGCTCACACTGTCAGGGGAACTCATTAAGAGTGTCTAAGCCCTTGATCACATTGGGTGCGACTTGACAGCTACTAGAAGCTAGTGGTGTAAGTGCCCGAGCACACCGAGCCCAACTTTGAAATCTTGCAACCTACAGTGGAGTCGCACGATTTCAAAGTCGGATGACATGCTGATTTGAGGTGCGATTTGCAAGACATCTGACACAGATATCTATGCAAATTGCACCAAAAATAGTGCATGTACTACTTTAGAAATCAGTGCGGCTCCAACCAAGTCAAAACCGCACCGATATGACTGCTGTAATTGCAGACAATAGGGTGCGATTGGCCATGCGATTTGCAAGTTGTATGGCATGCAAATTGCATGCCAAGTCGCACCCAGTGTGATCGGGGACTAAGGGTCCTTTTACACAGACGTTCTGTTTTTTTTCATCAGTTCAGTCACATTTTTTTAAATTAAAACAGATCAGTTTACATCAGTTTTTCATCCGTTTACATCAGATTTTCATCCGTTTACATCAGTTTTTTTTTCATCATTTTCTCGTTAGTTTTTTACATCCTTTCAGGTCTCTTTCAGATGTATGTTCTGATTGGGTCCGCCTGCCCATTTTTCAGGTGGACCCAAATGTTTTATGCTGCCCATTTTCCAGGCGGACCCAAATGGAACCTCCATTCTCCTCTTTGGAGCGGCAGATGTAAACAGACACGTTCGTTTACACCTGCTGACATCCAATCCGATGTGCAAAAAAGGGATGGATGGTGATCTAATTCCTCTTCCATCTGTTGGATTGGGTCGGATGGAAACAGATAGGTGGTCCGGCAGGGCTGTGCAAAAAATCACACACACACACATATATATATATATATATATATATATATATAATTTAGCATTTCCGGGTAGGGGATGTGCATGTACTGCCCTACCCGCACTGCTATTGGTGGCTAGAGATGTCAATCATTGGGTCCCGGCTGGCAATTCCCCACCGGCACTTAATGATCATCGGGGAAAGCTGAAACAGCACAGGTGTCTCTTCTGTCAGCAAGGATATGCTGCTTTGTAGTTCTCTATACAAAGCAGCATGTCTCAGTTGTAAAACAGCACACAGCACATAATGTGAAACACGTACAGCACACAGTTAACCTTTTGATCGCCCCAGATGATAACCCCTTCCAACCCAGTGTCATTAGTACAGTGTCAGTGCTTTTTATTAGTACTGATCACTGTATTAGTGTCATTGGGATGTCAGTGGCAGTTAGTCAGTTTCCCCCCCAGTGTCAGAATGCCCGCCTGCAGTCCCGCAGTCCCACTATAAGTTGCTGATTACTAGTTTAATTTTTTTTAAAAATTTACAGTATATATACTGCCATTTTTAGACACTGTAACTTTCACGTAAACTAGTTAATTTACACATATTGGGATTTTTTTTATAGCAAAGACATGTTGCAGAATACATTTTGACCTAAATTTATGACGAAATTTGGTTTTTAAAATTTTTTTACTGACATTTTTAATAGCAAAAAGTCAAAAATAATGTCTTTTTTTCAAAATTGTCAGCCTTTTTATGTTTACAGCACAATAAATAAAAAACACAGAGGCGATCAAATACCACCAAAAGAAAGCTCTATTTGTGGGGAAAAAAAGTACATAAATTTCATTTGGGTGCAGTGTTGCATGACCGCGCAATTGTCAGTTAAACTAACGCAGCGCTGTAATGCAAAAAATGGCCTGGTAAGGAAAGGGGGTAAATCCTCTGGAGGGTAAGTGGTTAATCCAATCACCATAGAATGTGTCAAGGTATTGCTGATTCACTGTGATTTACAACATCGGTCCTCATGTTTCTGTTTACAACACAGCCAACTACACCATTAGACATTTTGGAAACAATGAATGGACACAAATATATACTGTGTATATTTAAAAAAACATACAAAAAAAATATATATATATAAATATTACTATTATGTTTTCCTTGTAAATATACATTTTTTTAATATGATGAGCTTCATGCAGTATCCTATATTGCCATCTACAGGACACCTGCAGGATAACCTGCATTACATAGTAATCTGCCAGTCTGCCCACAGTCACCCCTCAGATTGCCGCTTAAAGCTCCAAAGCATTAAACAACCAAATTCCCATGCTTTTAAATTGTGTTTGTTCACATATGAGTGCTCAGGAACCTGTAGCTCAATGCCTGAAGCTCAGAAAGGTAGATGAGCTACTTTTAAAACAGAATGGGACACTTTTGGCCCCATAGACTCGAAGTGAGCACCTCGAAAACGCCTGAAAACACCTGAAAGTGGGTATTTTGTAAGCCTAAACAACCATCCTGTAATTAGCTTTACATTGCCTAAAGCAAAAAAAATGCTCAAACCTATATATCCTAAAAAAACATGGAAAAACAAACATAAAAAAAAAAAAAAGCTGTAAAACATCGGCGGTAAATGTTCATGGTCTAGTGTAAATGCAGCCTCTCTGAGGGCACAGGCACAATAACTGAAAATAGGGACCAGTCTGCAACTACCAAAGCATCTTAATGAAGAGGATTACTCCAGAGAGGTAGCAATGTGATCTATTACAAGCAGGATCCATTTAATGGACAATTGTATGCAACTGGTGACCATTATAGAAGTGCTATCACACCGCAGCAAGAACCTTAGTGGACGGACAAGGTATACAGTTCAAGTGCAGTTTGTCATTAGCTATATAGGCCTACAGTCAGCCCCATACCAAACAGTCAGACATATGTAACATAGCGGCGTGCCTCCAGATTTGGGCGGGACATTTTCACCTTTGTCCCGTGGTCCCAGTGTACAGGGGCTTTGTCACAAATTACTCTATCTATTCTTTATCTGCTAACTTCCAGCCAAGCAGGACCTGCAGAAG